AAGAGAGGGTGAGAAGAGAGTAATCCCACAAAATTGTGAGGTATTTGTGAGATAGTAAGTGAGGTGTTTTCTCCTAATAATAGAGAGATTTTTGTTGTTCTCCTATTATTAGAGAGAAGTTGTATTCCCACGTTACTTAGTAAAATCCTTCTATACTTGTCCGTGGACGTAGCCAAATTAGGTGAACCACGTAAATTCTTGTGTGTCGTTTCTCATTTTAACTTATCCCTTACCTTTTGTCTTGTCGGGTTTGCATGCCAGCATCCTAACAGGTGTTAATGAGTTTTATTTTTTTAATGAGTTTTATTTTCTTGGAGAAGTTTCATTTAAGTCTTTTTTTTTCATTTATCTTACTTAAAGGTGGCTAAATGGTGATTTAATGCCTCAAATGGGTTTTTTTAAGATACATATAGTGTTTCTTAGATGTTTTGTGCTGAAAAAATATGCCAGATGGGTTTTTTTATTCCTAGGAGCCTCCCTAGTTTAATGGTCACCATGGGCAAAATTTGTAATAGCAAGCGATAATTTTCTAATATTTTTTTTAATAAAAAATCCTAGTTAGATAAATAACATGTCGTTTGTCTTTAAAAAAAATATTTAGAGCCTCGGATAAGTGGGTAAACTATAAGTATATAAGTTTGGGTTTTTTTTTCACTTATATTTATTTTTGTTATTGATTTTTATTCTAATTTTATCATTTAATATTTTATTTATTTTGAGTTGGAGTCTTTGGTCTGTTTCAGAATGCTTCAATATTTTATTGGTATTTAATTTTATAAATTTTTTATTATATAATTAAATACAAAATAATTTAAAATATATTCTATAGTTAAATATATCAAAATAAATTTAAATGTATTGAAATTAATAATTCAAAGTTGCGAGTTTAACAATATAAATAGGACAACCTAAATCGATAAAATATTTCATCATCTTAAGAACAGTTTATAGAATTGCAAGCCAATATTCTTCTATCAACCAAATAGCAAAGCTTTTCGAACAAAATCTTAAGAACATTGAAGACAATTAATCAGCAATATCAATTGTATGGGACAACCAAAGAGTCTTGAGATTTTTCATTCATCCACTGCAAAATCTCCGAGCTCCAATTAAACCATCAAAACCAACATCCCACCTCGCTCTCTCTTTCTTTAACCAGTTCGCTCAATGGCTTCAGTAAAATTTATCTAAGCAAAATACGGTTTTAGGCTTTTTCATCCCTCTGATGAGATTGAGAATTCACTCTTTCTAGGGGTTCAGTCGACTATACTTGGGATTACTTGGCTCCCTGATTGCAGCAGTATTTGCACCAGAGTTTTAATAAATTTTGTTTTTTTATTTATTTTAATACTGATACAAAAAATAAATTTAAAAAAATATTATTTTAATATATTTTAAATAAAAAATAACATCACCTATAATCCCAAATATATAATCCAATTGATACCGTTAACCCCAGCCCAGATAAGCTGAAAAACTCCCAAGTTACTAATAGGACTGGATTTTAGTTCATTGGTCCAATTCTTCATGAAATGGGCTTTCTCAACTTAGCCTAAGAACTTGAAGCTAATGCAGATTACTCTATGAAACCAATTTCTTTTTAATTAATATAGTTAAAATAGGTTAACCATGACTATTTCTATGTAATAAAAGGTAATTAAAAAAATACTTTTCATTACTGAATATAATATACCATAAAAATACCAATAATAAAAAATAAATTTATAGCACCATTTTATGTCAAAGAATCCAAAATCTATTTATAATAACCCATAGCACCATTTTATGTCAAAGAATCCAAATTCTATTTATAATAACCCTTGTTGTTGTTATTTTATTTTTTAATTTATTTTTGTAATTAAAACCTTCTTAAAATTTGATATTATTGAAACTAAAAATACATATAGAGAATCACTAGTATGATATGGAGAGTGATAATTGTTATTGAATATAACATCTAAATTCTTTATGCTAACATTGGATTTTTTTTTATTATTAAATATCATTTTATGCTCCATTTTTTAATTAAAGAATCATTTGAAAATTCTTTTCAAATGATTTTTTTAAAATAAAAATCTCTTTTTTAAAAAATCTTCAGTAAAAAGACTAGATTATATATTTTCGTATAAACTATGCATTGCTTGTAATCTTGATGACGTGATTATGAGAGGTTATCTATATTATAGGGGGTTGAATTTATATTTCCAAGAGAAGCAGAACCTTAATGCAAAAGGACCGAAAGGAAAAAGAAAAGGAAATGGGGAAATCAACCCTATAAATCCACTCCCCATCCAGTTCAGGTCTTCTGCGATTAGCCCTCACATAGTAGTAGCTCTCTATCTTTTTCCTTTTTTTTTTAATTTTCATTTGATTTTTGTTTCTTTTTTAAAATATCACTAAAACCCTGTTTCATAGAAAACAATTTATATAGCCTTAACAAGAGTAAATCATAGCTTTAGCCAGCAACATTCCCTGCAATATAGAGAGAAAAGGAGATTCATTCTGACGTCAAACTTTGTTGTGTAGTTTAAATAGGTGAACTGGGTTTTGTATCAGTGCTTCTTTTTTTTTTTGTCTATATAATTCTCTCTCGTTTTGGGTTCTTGGAATTCTTGATCCATTAGGGTTTTTTGGGGGTTTGTTGTTGCTGAGGGGCAAAATGGACAAGAAGAAGGTGGCTGTGCCATTAGTGTGCCATGGACATTCACGTCCAGTTGTGGATTTGTTTTACAGTCCTGTCTCTCCTGATGGCTTCTTTCTCATTAGTGCTAGCAAGGGTATGCCTGCTCTCTCTTTATTTTTCTTAAGGTTTTCTATTGTTTTAAGCAGTGAATTTTATCCATTTTCATTTGGGTATCTGTTGTTAACTGTGATTTTGGATTCCGTTAAGCAATTGGGTTTCCTTTGAATAGTCATTTAGTCATTAAGGTTGTTACTTCATTTCTGTTACTTATGCCATTGAAATTTGAATTGTTCTTACATTCATCTGATTTAGTTGAAAGCTTGGTCTATGTTTTGCTGACTGCTGTAAGATGTGAATTTGATACTGATGTAATTGTACTTTAGATAGTCAATCAGTGATCTTTATGTTATTGTAGATTGGGAATCGAGATTTCATCATTGATCATTGTTATTTCTCCTATTTACTATGGCAACAAAGAATCAAATAGTCGTGAAATGTAAGATAACCCCAAAGGGCTGTGGATCATTTTATTGTCTCGTTGTGCTTATGTGAATATAGTCATGAAATTACTGAACTAGGATTTGCATAATGATCTATTCATCATTTGTCTGTGGATCATTTTATTGTCTCGTTGTGCTAATGTGATAACTGAAAATTGGGTTTGAACCTCTATTCATTGAGACCTTGTAATTCCTCACTTCAAAATAACGTTATCCTTTGAAATTCAGATTCTAGTCCCATGTTGAGAAATGGGGAGACTGGTGATTGGATTGGAACCTTTGAAGGGCACAAAGGTGCAGTGTGGAGTTGCTGCCTGGACACTAATGCTTTGCGTGCAGCATCTGGCTCCGCTGATTTTTCTGCGTATGTTATTTAAGTTCCTTCAAATTCATGAATATATATTGACTTATGTATTCCTTTCAAGTGACCTGTATACTTCCTTATTTAGGCAATTTTCTTTTAAGACCCCTCTCTCTTTCTCTCATGTTTGTGCACATGGTGGCAAGTGGAAAGATGCTAAATGATCAACATATCATAAATTCAATCAATTTAGAGAGGTTCTATAATGTCTGGTATATTGTTTGCAGGAAATTGTGGGACGCATTGACAGGGGATGAATTACAGTCTTTTGAGCATAAGCATATTGTTCGAGCATGCGCATTTTCAGAGGTAGAATTGAATTTTGCTTCTATTCTATTACTTCTTTATTTTCTAGAGCCTGATTTGTTTTGTTTATTTGTAATGTTTCATTGTAGAAGGTATTGTTTTGTCAATAGTACAAGAAGGGAACATTTTTATCTGTCTTTAAGTGTCCAAGTTGCCATGGTCTTCACATTTAATGACAGAGTGACATGCTATTCAATGTAAGAGGAGTCAACATGCAATTGATCCATCAAAAGGAGATGCTTAAACCAAATTCCAAATGATTGTAGCAATTTAACGATGTTGTTTTCTGATATTTGTTCGATGTTGTTTTCTGATATTTGTTTGAAAGTGCCTTCAAAAGTTTCACCAATGTCTCAATTGCTGTTAAAATTATTCAATTAAGCTGATTGTTTATCTCAGCAGAGTATTGAATTGGGTTTCTTGCCTGGCATTATGGGCCTGGTCCTTGTTCTGGTTGTGTTTCCTTTTTGTTCTTTCTGTATTTTGGTGCACCTAAGTTCTAAGACATGTTAGTTTGAGATGGATTACAAGTTGGTAGCTTTAGTTGTAGTGTCTTTCAATTAATTTGTATGTAACCTTTGATTTTTGCTGTTGGGTCTCCTTTCCTTCATTTGTATCACTTCCATTTGATTTTTCATTCTTTATCCACCGTTTGATTTTTCCTTATTAGAAATTTATTATTTGGTTCTGGATCTGTATAATTTGATTCCTTTTTATTATTTGCATTATTATGCAATCATGCAAAACATTAATGCAAAATATATTTTCTGGGTGAAAATATGTATCTGTTTCTATGGCATTTTCCTTTGTTTCTGCTGTATGCATCCAATATCTAAGTTGTCCTTTGTGCAGGATACTCACCTTCTACTTACTGGTGGATTTGAGAAAATTCTTCGTATATTTGACTTGAATCGTCCAGATGCACCCCCAAGAGAAGTTGACAACTCACCAGGTTCAATCAGAACTGTTGCATGGCTTCACAGTGATCAGACCATATTAAGTTCTTGTGCTGATATTGGTGGCGTGAGGTATGGACAGTAATAAATGATCAAGCCTGATCCCATGTGATGTCATATAATTATTTGCTTTCATTTGTGGCTGCACTTTGTTGTTTGATTGGTTGAACCAGGGTATTTTGTGCTGTTATATTTGAGATTCTACTTCATAATGAACTATCAATATGCGGTGTGTGTCATTAAGCTTAGTGCTTTTTAAAGATATGGGATATGTGAACACAAGCTTGTCACATCCTTACAGACAGGTACTTGTAATGGTTATCTGATTTTGGTTTTTTGTTTTTGTTTTTTAACAAGAAAACCTTTATGAAAGTTGCTGTTGGTTTCTTTACACTATTTGGTTCAATTTAGAGCCATGTGGACATATACTTTTAAAAAATAAGATGATAAAAAAAATAGGAGAAATTTTTGGGGTTATGTGAACTGAACTTAATTTGATGGGTTTTTTTTTTTTTTACAATTCTCTTACATGTTGATGCATTTAGATGGATTTCTGTGTTATTAGAAAGTGAACAAACTATAAGAATTTACAGTCTTTGATCAGAGACTGTTCCAGTAAAGTCAGTAAGAGATGGTCACTCAACAAACCTACCTATATCATTCTCAATTCTAATGCTAGATGCTGGGTTCAGCACTTGGGCAACTGCACTAATACTAGATGTTGGGTTCAGCACTAAGGCAGCCATGAGTTACTATCTCTTGTTGTTAGATTTAGTAAGAGGATATTTGTTTTTGCGTTTTAAAAGTACTTTTGAAAAAATAAAATATTTTTTTCTTTGCTCCAAATTAAATTATTTTGTGTTTTTATATCATTTTGATGTAATGATATCAAGAATAAATTTTAAAAAATAAACACTATTTGGATGCATTTACAAGTGAAAAACACTTTGAAAAATAACCACCACCACAATACCAAATGGACTCTTAGTTTTGATTCTAGTGTCCTCATCATAATCCTTAAAGGAAAGCAGTTAATTATTGTGTCTTTGTTTTCACATTGATTAGTCTATTGGAAAGTGTGCTTTATTTATTTATTGGTACATAAATCCCTCTTCTACTTTCTTGTTATCAGCATGGAAGGAAAAACAATTAATTAATTGTCTTTGTTTTGACCATGAGTGGTTAATTGGAAAGTGTGTTCAAGACGGGCTATATATATATTGGTAGCCCGTCTTGATTGAGTTTCGCCATAGATGTGTTATTGGTACTGAAGCCTTTCCTCGACTCATCGATGTGTTCTCCTTCTAACTTGATTGCTGACTCTATAGGTTATGGGACATACGAAGTGGCAAAATTGTTCAAACACTTGAAACAAAGTCACCGGTAACAAGTGCTGAAGTGAGTCAGGATGGTCGTTATATAACTACTGCTGATGGATCTACGGTTAAATTTTGGGATGCGAATCAGTAAGTTGTGGTTTGGATTCTTCCTTTTGCGCCTTGGTTATTTCATAGGAACTGACTTGTAACTTTCCTCATTTTTGTTTTCTAGTTTTGGATTGGTGAAAAGCTATGACATGCCATGCAATGTGGAATCAGCTTCATTGGAACCGAAATTTGGTAATAAGTTTGTTGCTGGAGGAGAAGACATGTGGATCCATGTGTTTGATTTCCATACTGGAGAACAGATTGGTATGTGTAACTGCTCCAACCTTCTTTTTTTTTTTGAAGAAACAAGTTCAACATCTAAACACAAAAATTTGGTTTGAATCTCTGTGCTGTATATTCTTGTTGAATGGGAAATTTAGATTTGAGAAACGACTTCCATGGAACTTTTATGTCAAAATTGTTTGTTAATTTTTGTTTTTGAGGTGCAACTTAATGCAGTTTTTCTATCAGAATATCTGTTGTTAGCTAATGCCTTGACCTGCATGCTCTTTTACCAGTCTTCAACCAGACGAGAAAATGATGGACCTGAGCTGAATATATGATTAGTAGTACTATTGGTTGATGGCCCATATATGGCCCCGTATTCTTCAGAGAAACTTCGCTGGTGTTCTAAGTTTCAGTTATAACCATCATCTTGCACGTGCTCTCTATATTGCAGGATGCAACAAGGGTCACCATGGTCCTGTTCATTGTTTGCGATTCTCACCTGGAGGAGAATCTTATGCATCAGGATCCGAAGATGGAACCATCAGAATATGGCAACTCAGCCCAGCAAGTCATGATGAGAATGATTCTCTTCCTGGGAATGGACCAACTGGGAAAGTGAAGGTCTCAGCTGATGATGTTGCCCAAAAGATCGAGGTCTTGCATGTCAGCAAAGAAGGAAAAACTGCTGAGAAGGATAAGGCAACTGATGCCTGACTTGGGCTTCATATTGTTTCACCTGTTCTTGTTTTGTCTCTACTTGGCAAGTGGACGCTACTTCTTTTGCATTTGCTCTGCCGTGGAAGTAAAATGGTCACTGAAAAAAAAAAAACAGAAAAGGAAAAATCTGTTTTGTATGCTCCTCGCTGTTTCTGCCTTGTTGGGAAAACCATCTTTCGAACTGAGCCACCGTTATAGTTTTAATGATGTAGAACTTTAAGAAAATGACAATAGATTTTTGTTAGCATGATTATCTAATTCGTAAATGCTTATTCTGCACTGGCTATGAGTTGCTTGACATAACTTTTGTTTCTAAGTAGTTTTTAAAAGTGTTTTTGATTTAAAAACATATTAAATTAATGTATTTTTAGTGTTTTGTTTTAATGATTTTGGTGAGTTAATATTAAAAGAAAAGAAATTTATTTTAATGTATTTTAATAGAAAAATTATTTGAAAAAGTTTTGTAGAACAATCTTAAACACTTCTTATGAATGCCACGCCTTATTTTATTATTAGTTAGAGTTATAGGACGGATAATTTTTTTAATGTATAAAAATAAATATATAAATATTATTAATGTGTTTTCTGAACTTTAAAAAAAATAATAACGAATGTGAATGTTAATAAAAAAAAACTGATGTTTAAAAATTATATGTATTAATAAAAAAATTTGTTAATATAATATTGCATAAAAAATCTCAAATTAATTTTAAGTAATAGAAAAATAGAATTGTTGTGAGTGCGTATGATTTTTAATTGATAAACATAAGAACATTTTTTATGTTAAAAGAAATAAATTTTAAAATGTATGAATAGATAAACTAAGAAAATGTTGTCAATGTCAATCAAATTTTAAAATAAAACACATTGATAATTCTAAATAAAAAAATAATCATTCAAGTTAAAGTAAAATGTAGATAAATATTATATTTAATTCCAACTTTTCCTTTTAATGTACACTCTTTTTTTGTTGTCTTTAAGGTTATTTTTTCTCAACAAATAACTTTGATTTTCATAAATACATCATGAAAATAAAACATAAAACACAAAAATTATAGATAAATTAGAATAATTTCTTCAAAAAATTAAATACATATAAAATAATTAAAAAACTGCTATTTAAAAAAACAAAATATATAATCTAAAAAATCAATTCAAAATGAATATCAATTTAAATATAAACAAAAAAGTTAATTCAAATAAAAAAACACATAAAATATATCAATACAGCAAGTAAAAAAAAGAAAATTAAGTTCAAACATTGTCGGCTTAGCAAATCAGGCTTGTGCTCATGAGCTCTTAATTTTTTTTGTTTGGAAATAGGATGAACTAATTCTTTCAAAAAAAAAAAAGGTAGATAATACGTTTTTTGTTTGGAAATAGGATGAACTAATTTTTTCAAAAAAAAAAATAAAGGTAGATAATGCCTTGTAGACCTTCCTAGTTTTAAACCACCAAACTGGAAAATCAGAAATGATGTTTTTTAATCCAAAAATATAATTTTTAAATAAAAAACACCTAAAAAAGTTCATATGATGTAAATAAACTAATAAACCAAAAAAAAATAAATTAAAAACTCACATAAAAACACAAATCCAAACTGCAAACAAAATCCTCCCCTAAGTTTGATCTCTTTTTTGTTGTTTTAAGATTAAGACAATAATAACACCTAACAGAGTTGAATTAATACTAACAAATAATGTAATTTTAACATAATAAACCTGATTAACTAATAATATAATTAAAGTACTTAAAGTAAAAGGTATAGAGAGAAATTACAAACTCATTTTAACATGGTTTGACAAGTTTATATCCACGCCTCAAATGCTAGACAATAATTGAGTATTGTATTTGTTTAATAATCTAAGCTTAAGAGTACAGTATGCTTAATGAATCCACACCAAACCTTTTTTCACTACTTGAAGAAAAACTCTTCTTCAAGATTTTTATCCACTTGAAGATATATATTCTCTAAGATTTTTTTTTTATTTGAAGATATGTCATCTTCAAGATTTTTCTTTGGTTATATTCCTTTACTAATATCAAGAATTTTTACCTAACTCTTATAAGTTTACAGTTATGGTTTTTGTTTACAACAAAAAACTCTCTCAATAATTGGATAATATAATTAAAGCTTGTATCTCTATAACTTATTTAATAACATTTATAATATTTGAAGGTGTTTAAGTGTAGTGTACACAAGGATGAATATTTTTGTGCTAGAATATAAAGGTTAAAATTAGCACAACTTCAAATAGGAAATGATTGATGAGTTCTAGTTTGTTTTTCACTTGAAATAGTCTTTATATCATATATATGTCCATTATCCTCTATTATTTCTACAATTAAAAGTACTATTTATAAGTTTATTAAAAAAAAACCCAAATTGTCTATAGTTATTAGAATACCATTAATAGTTCAAGTGGTTGACTAATTCATCTAAAATTTTAAATTTTAACAGTTTAAACCTGATGAATTCTTTGAACTGGTTAATTAATTTTATATGCATGCATAGTGAAGTGTGTGAGTTCATTTCAATTGTGTTATCAAGATAAGATATAAAGATTTACATATTGCACCAAAATGAATATTTAATTTTAGATCTTCACTTGCTTTCGTTCTTAGACTTTATTCCATTTTGTTTATTGATATATTCTTTAAATAAACTTGTTTAAACTTATTCTCTAACAAAATAATATTAGTCAATTTTCTATTTAGTTGTTATTGTCAAAATATATAAGAATATAAATATATGACCCAAAGGTCAATGTCTTTTTCAATAATTTTAAGAGAGAAACATCTTAATAAAACTTCATCCATCAAATAAAACTCATTGACATCAAAGTTATTGTTTTCGTGATCAAAATCGATGTCATTAAATAAAACTCATTGGCATCAAAACTATTGTTTTCGTAAAAGTTATTGTTTTCGTGATCAAAATCGATATCATTAAATAAAACTCATTGGCATCAAAGCTATTGTTTTCGTGATCAAAATCGATGTCATCTAAGATATTCTTTCTCAATTATTAAAGTCCGATAACTCTCTCTATCTCTTTCAAATCAAAGACTAAAAAAATAAAAAAATAAAGTTATGAATCAAAAATAAAAAATAAACAAACTAAAGAGACCAGAAATCCATTATTTGAAAAGTAGAAGAACCAAAGTGGACTTTTCACCCTAATTTAAAAACTATCGCTAATTTCCTTTGCCTTTTTTTGCTTCGATCCTTTGTATTTGAATCTTTCCCTTTCTTAACAACTTTGCTTAAATTGGCCACCAATTTAGACCTATAAAGGTGAAATAAAATAAAAAAACATTATTGCAGCAATTAACAATACAATATGTTTTGATCCACAATACAAGTTGGCATAGTATTTTTGCCACATGGTGTTAGAGTTTTCTACAATATTTATATATTTTAAAGAGGAGAGACGTTTATTTGATTAATAAAATGACTTTTTTGACTCGGAAGTTTAGGAACATGAAAAAGGTGATTAATTGAAATTTATTAATTCTACAAAACTGTGATGAGATATGAACTAAACATTATTATATATATCAAATAGATAAAGATGAACACTAGTTGCTGACCATCCAATTTAGAATGTTATTTATATGGTAATTAATGAATGAATTTTTTTATTACAACTAATTATTAATTAAGAAAAACTAAAGGGCCTAAGTAATTTGTTGTTTTATCAACATTTATGTAGAGAGAATTAAATTATGAATTTGCATAGTGCGATTCAGAGTCTTTGTTGGTTGCCTCTTGCTCTAGGTTGGCTTTGCGAAGTCTTTGTTGGTTCCCTTGTGTTCTGACTTGTCTTTGCAAAGCTTTTGCTGGTTGCCTCGTACTCTGGGTTGGCTTTACAATGTTGCCTTAGTAGTTGGCTCTTTAAAATTCTTGAGAGGCTACTTCACAAAAAAAAAAATCAATTTTTAAAAAATACAATTTCAATCGTGATCTCAAACAACTGCCTTCACAATGAAAGTTGTTTGCCCGGGCTCATGCTTATAACCTCTTGGCTCTGCCCTTGGATTTAACCTTGGTACTTCAATACTAATATTAGAACTCGCCATTAACAAAAAATAAAAATTGTTTGATCTAGCATGGCCAAAAGAAATTGGGACATGGAGCATTCCTGCTTGCTCACTGCATTGAGTTTTTTTCACCATCTTTAACACTTATTTGGGTGCCCTACCACTTTGCAAGTCCTCCATTATTTCTTGCTTTTGAGCTGTCAAAGTTGAAAAGGTGCTTATGTATCGATTTCTCCAGGCTTCGAAGTCGTTTCATTATGATCAAATTCAGATTAGAGTTTAAACTCTGATGCAATTTTTTTTCAACTTCCATTGATTTTCCAGTGAATGCGAGGTTATGAGTGGGGGATGATCAAAACGCATTAGTTGTAAATGACACAAGCAGCTCTTTGCAAATAGCTAAAGGCAAGTTTTGATGATGTATTCTTAGATAAAAATGTGCCCAGGTACCCAAGAAGCTCTTTTTAGTTGAATCAATGACTGGCTATTGTGCCAAATAAAGCAATTATATCTAATTTAATAAGCTCTGTGAGAATTTTTCATTTTGAAGATGCAGAAATTATCACAAACAATACATTAGTCATCAACGATGCAAACGACTCTCAAGAGGCAGCAGTCCCCTAAGTTTAAAGATTAGAAAATTTCAGCTAGTTATGCATGAAGGACTACTGATGATTCAGCTTTGTATATAACGAGTTGCAATGTCAAGGTCGTTCACATTGTTATCATTTATCAAGCCTAGCTAACGAATTTGTTCCTGAATTTTGAATATGTTAGAAATAATAAGAAACTGATCAATGATTCAGGCAGCAACAGGTAAACACAGTCGATGGCAAGTAAAGTGCTGCATGCTTGATACCAGTAAAAAAAAAACCTGTCTTCAACTTCTGATGCTACAGGGAGATGAATTATATCTAGATACAGCAATGAAGAATATTATGTTATATTATAAAACATGATTCCGAGCACTTGACAATATTGGACTCCATTAGATGCAGGATGGCAAATCTACACGCCCCTGCTCCAAGAGTAGAATAAATTTGGAACTTGCAGGCAATGAATCCCATTAGAAGCTCAAAGACTAGCAAAAAATTCGTTTGCACAGATATTCTTTATCGCAATAATTAAAACATGTAATACATGTAATTAAAAATGCATGTAACTGGAGTAGCAATCCCTATCAATGCTGCTTGTAATATATATTTTATTTTTTTTAACTTCAGCAGCTTTCCTTACCAACAAAAAACATGCAAGTTCATATTGGAGATATTCTTTAACCTTCAAAATAGAAAGCTGATTTATCTAAATACTTGCAGTGAAGCTAAAATATATCGAAATCCCAAGGGCGGACACTTCATCATTGAAGAGGGGCTGGCCCAAAATCATATATTCTAGGAAACACTTGGGCAAAAGCTATATAGAGTTCTTTTAATCAGGCAAACAGAAAAAAAGGGGGGGCAGAATAATAGGAAAATCTTCTGTTATTTGCACATTTTATGTACGGGTGCATGCCTATCTGTCCACCACAATTCCCAAAATCACCGGTGTATGCCAATGTATCCGCCAGAAATCACAAAAACAAAAGAAAAGTTAATGCAAAAGCAATAGCATCCACAGCGAAATCAGATTATCAACCGAGCAAAGTCTCACTCATGGACTTGATGCTTCCAAATGTCACTTGTTACATTTCTTCTTCAGCTGGTTTCTAATTTCTTCTAATTCCTTCCCTTGTCGCTACAGGAATGGAACCGGTAACAAAATCAATTTCAATCAAAAACAACTGATAGGAGGAGCAAAAGGAATTTCTAGAGCAGAGGCAAGACAAAATGACAAAATTATGAGATTTCTGGTAGCACAAATGCACAAGCAAGGCCACAAAGAAGTATATGTGATTCATCACCTACGACAACTAGGAGGAACTGGACTTTTCTTCTAAAACAAAACAAAGGAAAGAAGAATGTCTTGCTGGGTGGTTTTAATATAGAATGACATAAATCATTCATATACACTTGATATTGATCGAATTTCTCAAGCAATCACATCCATATAGACTAAAATCACATCTAAAAAGAAGGCAACATTGTTTCTCAAGCAATCACATCCATATAGACTAAAATCACATCTAAAAAGAAGGCTTATCAAAACATTCAACTCTTTTTTTCTTTTTTCTTTTTTTCAATTAACAATGAATTGACAAGAAACCGAAAGGAAAGCCTCTCTCACTCAATTGCTTCTATGCTACAAATAAGCAAGGCTCATGGCTAATTTGTTAAGATAGCAAATTAGTTCAAGCCTATTCTTGAAACTCGCTTTATAAAGGAGCCGAATTAGAGATTTCAACTCATTTAGGCCCATAAGCTAGCTTACCAGCTAAGCTAGGTTTAAATTCTTTAGTTGGAATATTTATAATGTCATGAAAATTCACAATAATAGGGAAACAAAATAAGTCCATGCTTAAAGTTTTTATATTTTTTATTATAAACAATTTTTATTTCAAGGATCAGACTAATAGGGGATTCAGCCCATGCTGGATGCTAGTGCCCTAGATTTACTTTTCTCGCCCCAGACCTCAAAAGTATAGTGCTATAAATAAGTGAAGGTAACCTAGTAAAATTTAAGTTAGTCAAGCTTGAGCTTCATGTATTTGGCTCCTTATAGACAGGATTCAGGCTTGAACCTTGCTAAAACTAAATAAGCAGAGTGATGCTCGAATCTGCTCAGCTAATTTGCAACCCTAATAACTTCCACTTGTTTATAACAGCCAACCTTTGGGTTTATCATGTCACCTGTGTGATAATATATTTTTCTTGTTTTTAGTGTTTTTTTTTTTTTACCTAAACTTCTTTGATCAAATAATTTCCTTTCATCTTTTTAGCATTTGAAGTTTTTTTTATCAAATTTCTCACTGCCCAATTTATTGCAAATTCTTTCCAAGTGAACATGAAGAAATAAGGATGCTTCAAAACTAAAAAAGTTTACATATCAACACTCTTTTCATCAATGTTTTTGGTCAACAAAGTCTTTTTATGATTCATGTAACAGCCCTGCCTAAGATTTGATGTTACAGGGACAAAAGTGCTGTTTCTGAAGCCTATGAGACAAATGGGGGGGTACCTAAATCTCTGACTAGTTTGTAATCATCCCTGATAGAAAAGTTCAGAAATACTTCAAATAGAATGGCGCAACTGTTTATAGGAAAGGAAAATATGTTAATTTTTCTTCTTTTTAGTAGATTGAAAAACCAAAGCATATTGACTTCTCAATAACATCCTAATATACCAAAGAAACTTCACATGGTAATGATCACGACTCCTGAGAAAGGAGTAAAAAACTTTGTGAGTACTTACAGGATCCAGGTTTCGAGTAACCTGCACAGATTTGTTGATGGTTTTTACACCACTATCTTGTCGAAATCAAAAAACCTACTTCATCAGAAATTTGGCCTGCCTTTTCACCCAGAAGCTTTCTCTTCTTATAAGGCCGGGTACATGATGCATTTGGAGGCCAGGGATCCTCGGAGAACTTCGATTTGTAGGGCTTGTTTGAAAAGTGTTGCTTGTCATCCACATTTGTATGAGTCTTGAACTCTGGACAATCAGAAACGAGAAATTTCACCCACTACCTTGAATTTTTTATTTAAACAAAAAAGGAAATGCATTTAAAAGCACATTGGATATCACCTTTAACCACTGGGCTGCTGCGTCCCAACTTGCCATCCTTTACTGCATGACGATTCATTTTTTCCAAAACTAGTGATTTTCCAGTCAATTCTTTTACTTTTGGCTTGAGAGTTCCAGGATTGCCGAGAATCTGATTTCTTCTTTTATTGAAAAAAAGCTCCACTGCACGTGTTCAAAATTTATAAAGAACAGGTTTTTGTAAATGTGCATCGATAATTCACCAAACAATGATCACTTTGTTACGAGAAACATGGGTCAGAAAGAACTTCGTAGACACCTCACACAGGTCTCCAGTTTCTAGTATAGAGAAGATTCAGAATCCAACATCATATAAATTTGCTCTTCCAACAATAAAAAGATTTTAAAAATTGGTCTGATACAATATGGAAAATTGATTTACAGATTAGAAAAGATCAATACCAGTATTGTTGAAGGGGCAAAAAAAAAAGCGGTGCCACCTGTTTATGAGGACCAAAGAAACCATTTACAAAACAAAGAGACAACAGAATCTAGTTTGGCATCATCGTTAACAGACACTTCCATGTACAAGCACTGTAGTTCTAAATCAGCTATCCAATAACTAAATACAAGCCTACATCTCCCTATTGACTCTAGAAACCACCTCCTCTTCAGACATTTGGATCCAAATTATATAGATTTAATGCTAAGCAAGGAATAAAAGGAATTCAAAAGATGGGAAGGGATACCCCGTCATACAACCTGGCCAAATCTTTTACGAGAAATATGCATAACCAACTTATCCATTCATTAAAGACAAAGCTGTCCTGCTTGGATGCTAATTTATGAGGAAATGGAAAGCAAAATATGGCAAAACTCTTCATTGTTAATTGGAAGAAGAACACAACTGTACATGAAATAGCAGTAGCCCAACCTTTAAATCCACAGATCTGATCTGCAAAGCTCTCAGATATGCTGCAAGTTCCAACATCAAAAGAACAGCAAAAAATGTAGTCAGCCATTTCCAACTGTTGTTCAGATGCTTGATGATTTCTCTGGTCATTTGATGCACAAACAACATTACATTTCCCAACAATTGATTCCTGAAAAGAGCAAATCATTTTACATAAATTTGGACATGGCAATGAGAATCATCATTTAACTGTAAAACCCAATGTGGACTATAATTAGGCAAATACCATCATTTTTAATCAGCAATACAGAAGCTTGTTCATGCCATTATTAAGCATGGAATTATATGACTTCTTCCTGCTAATTAAGTTCACAATAGTGTAAAAGTCCCTTAAAGATGATTTTGCACAAAAAAGAAAATTACCATTCTATGGTTTTAGATCACACAATATTGGAGCAAAACATTATAAAAAAAATTCAATTACATTTGCAAGCTAACTAACTCGGAAGAAAATACAAATTGATAGGATTGAGAGTCTGATTTACCACACGATTAACATTGCTAAGGCCTTTACCCTTGCCAGAAGCCAAAAATAACTCATTCTTGTTTGGCTTATAATCTCCCAAGAAATTGCGTATGTCCTTGGGACAAAAGAACCACACTGCCCTCACCATCCTTTCATGGGCTGCAGTCTCAAAGATTTGCACAAGTTTACCAATGTTAGCCTCGGAGTCACCTTCACAGTAAAAACATACACAATCATGAAGACAGTATTTAACTCCATCATATGTAAATGACTCATAAAATTGTATCTCTTTGTTCATCCGCCCAACTCCCCTCTTAGTACCCCACTTGAATATCTGATTCTCTAATTCATTTTCCTTCTTGAGATGCGTCATGGCGTATTTATTTCCTGCTAGCAACACTCAGCCCCTTATTTATGAAACTGCCAATCCAAAAATGGTAAAACCAAATGAAGCATACTTTGTCAAGAGCAGCAATACACCTCGCATGAACAGAAACATCTACCAGGTTAAAATAACAATGAACGGGCAGAAACGAAGCACATAACAATGTTAAGGCAAAAAAAGTCGAAACTCTATAACCAGTGTATTTAAACAATAATTCCTTCGTAAGAACAACATGTTTCAATGAGGTTCTTCTTTTCATCTCGGTACTATTTCTATGATAACAAAGCAAGAAAACAAAACATGTTTTTGCAAGGACTTGCTAGCTTACTGATGCTCTAACTTTCAATTAAGCTTCTTGCAATACAGAAATGCCTTTAGAAATACTCCTTGAACTATTTCAAAGAGAATCCTCGTGAATAGTCTCCAAATTGAAGAGCCAAGCATTTCACACTTATAGTTTTAGAAGAATTCGTATGGCCAGTAAAAGTTGGGGAACAATATAATTCCAGTTGCCGCGCCAAAAGCGAAAGAATAAGGCCCATGACCCTTAAGTAAAGGCGCCACTAGCAAGAAGTGGGCACCAACATGAAAGCTAAACTGGAGGAATTCCAAACAAATATAACCATTATCATGCAAAAATAAGCACCCCTCTTAAACTGAATTTCTATCACTCACCCAAACACACACACACACACACAGACACACACAGATAGAGCTAGATTTATCCTTTAAACCAAAAACCCTGAAATTAGGCAAAAATAACCATATGGGCTCAAAGTTCCAAACCTAAAGGAAAATAAAACTGATAATCAGAAGAGAAAAATGGAACAGAGGAAGTATGACGGCCAGCAAGTGGAATAAACTAAAACGAGTGCACCCAACCCAGGAGGACAAAAAAAAAACCCAATAAATCCACAAATAATGCCATGAGAGAGAGAACATTAAGAAAACAAAATAGTTGAGGAAAACCAAACGTCAAAGCCGTTAACAATTTTTTAAAAAAAAAAAACAGAGAGAAAATGGGTGTTTCACACCAACCAAAAACAAGTTAAAAAATAAAACTCAAATAAAAAGGGAAGAGGGGGTTTCAAAACCAAAACCTATTCTACAACCATGAAAGGAGCTCGAGCGAACGAGAGAAGAAGGGGTGCCAAACGCTAATCGGTAGAAAGGAAAAGAAATGAAAGAACCAAGTTTTCAGAAACCAAAACACAGCTTTAAAATGTACCCAAACCAAAACAATGGCATATTATAAAATGTATACAAAGAGGGAGAGCAAGAAACCAAAACACAGCTTTAAAATGTACCCAAACCAAAACAATGGCATATTTTAAAATACATACAAAGAGGGGGAGCTAGAGAAGGCGTAAGCACTTGCTACGACCAAAGAAAAGGCAGACTAGGGATACCATAACTATCAGAGAGAGAAACGGAGCTAGGCAAGCTTGAGATAAACATACTTACTCTCTGAAAGAGTTGATTAAGAAGGCAATGATTGGCAGCAGGTTGGCGTGAGCAGAGCTTACTGCTATAGTAGCATGGGAAGCAAGGAAACCATCACAACAGGACCCGAGAAGGACAAAAAATACCTTAAAAGAACACTGGTTACAATGAAAATAAGTGCAATATAGCTGTGCTAATGTGCACTTTATGCGTATGGAAAATAGCGAAGCGGAAAGAACGTGCGGTGGTGGTGTGTACTTCTGCTGCTGCTTACACAGTAACAAGGAAAAGATGGCCGATGGAGCGGTATTACTGCAGCAGAACCATTTCTACGAAACGGAGAATACCACCACCACGCATGCGTGCCATCGACTTTTCTTTTCTTTTTATATATATTAATATATTAAAATTATTTAAAAAAAATATTAAAAAGTTAATCATAAACAATTTATTTTTTGAAATGATGTGTCTAAAAAATATAAACACGTGAGATGACGTGCCTACGTATTATTACAGTTTTATAAAATAAATATTTAATAATATTATAATTATAAATCAGATTTAAATAAATAATAGAAACTAAAGATATAATAGATCAAATATTTTATAATTAAAAAAAATTATGTAGGTAATAAAAAATTTAGAGGCTAAACAAAATAATTTATAACAATCAATAGTGTTTTGTAAAAAAAGATATAATGTTTTTAACACATGATTTAGCTTTTCTATTAATAAAAAGTAAAAAAAATTACAAAGCTAAATTCTCTATCAATTTAATACTAAAAAAACTAACAAAGATAATTTTTGAAGGAAAAAAAACCCATGAGAAAAAATATTGTAGCGATTGACAATGTTTTATGAGAAAAACTACAGTGTTTTTTCCAATAAAATAAAATAAAAAATTATTTAGAAAAATACTGTAGCAATTCATAGTGTTTTGTGAGAAAAACTACAACGTTTTCTCCATATGATTAAGCTTTATTGTAATCATAATTCTTAACCAACTCAATATTAAAAAAAAATCAACAAAGATAATATTGAAAAAAATCATATAAAAAAATCTTTCTCCATATGATTAAGCTTTATTGTAATCATAATTCTTAACCAACTCAATATTAAAAAAAAATCAACAAAGATAATATTGAAAAAAATCATATGAAAAAATACTGCAATAATTCACAATGTTTTAAAGAAAAAATTACAAAGCTAAATTCTTAATCAGATTAGTATTAAAAAAAAATTGATAAAGACAATTTAGAAAAAAATAACACAAAAAAGAGGAAAAAATTCATGTTAGAAATACTGTAGCAATTCACAGTGTTTTGTGATGAAAGTTACAGTATTTTCCCACATGATTTAACCTTATTTGTAATGACTTGTAAGTGTAATTCTCAAACAACTCAATATTAAAAAAAAAATTAACAAAGATAATTTTGAAAAAATTATAAAAAAAAAACCAAGTGGAAAGACATTGTAGCAATCTATAATGTTTTATAAGGAAAGCTACATTGCTTTCCCCACATGATTAAGTTTTATTACAAAGTTAAATGTCGATCAACTCAATATTAAAAAAAAAAATTGATAAAGATAATTTTAAAAAAATATCATAAAAATAAACACACAAAAGAAACTAGAAAAAAAATCATGTGAGAAAAAATTATATCAATCCATAGTGTTTTATGAGGAAAAACTTTTATTTACTTGTAATTGCAATTCTTAACCAGCTTAATATTAAAAATTAATATTTAAAAAATAAAATTAACAAAGATAATTTAAAAAAAAACATAACAAAACAGGAAAAAAAACAGGTGAGAAAAAAACATTGTAGCAATCCATAATAATTTGTGAGGAAGTTACAGAACTTTCCTCATATATTGTAACTGTAATTTTTAACCAGATCAATATTAAAATTAAAATACAAAAGATAATTTCAGAGAAAATCATTAAAAAACAAAAAAAATAATGCTAAAGATAATTTTAAAAAAATATCATAAAAATAAACACACAAAAGAAACTAGAAAAAAAATCATGTGAGAAAAAATTATATCAATCCATAGTGTTTTATGAGGAAAAACTTATATTTACTTGTAATTGCAATTCTTAACCAGCTTAATATTTAAAAAATAAAATTAACAAAGATAATTTAAAAAAAAACATAACAAAACAGGAAAAAAAACAGGTGAGAAAAAAACATTGTAGCAATCCATAATAATTTGTGAGGAAGTTACAGAAAATGTCGATCAACTCAATATTAAAAAAAAAAATTGATAAAGATAATTTTAAAAAAATATCATAAAAATAAACACACAAAAGAAACTAGAAAAAAAATCATGTGAGAAAAAATTATATCAATCCATAGTGTTTTATGAGGAAAAACTTTTATTTACTTGTAATTGCAATTCTTAACCAGCTTAATATTAAAAAAATAAAATCAACAAATATAATTTTAAAAAATAAAATAATAAAATAGAAAAACTATGTAGGAAAACACTGCAAAATCCATAGTATTTTTAAAAAAAAATTATAAAGTGAAATTTGTAACCATTTCAATATTTAAAAAGTAAAATCAACAAAAAAAAATTTGAAAAAAATAAACAAAAAAAAAAGAAAACAGAGAAAAATTGAAACAAAAAAGAAAGTAAATTTGGAAAAAAAAGAAAAACAAATGACAAAAAAAGGGGAAAAATTAGGAAAAAATGAAAAAAAAAATACACTGTATATTACTATTGTAATCAGCAGTGTAATTAGATGCAGGGAACACTCCCCTTTAGTTATATATAAATATATATACAAAGAAAAGTTAAAAGAATAGGAAAACATTTTAGCTTTTCGCTTTTCTCTTGGAACTTTGTAGATTGTTATAATATTTTTTATTTTTTTTAATATTTTTTTATAATTTTTATAATTTTAATTTTTAATATTGAGATAAATAAGAGTTTAACTTTGTAATTTGTTTATTTTATTTTATTTTTCTATAAGGTTAATATGATTTACAAGTTTGTTGAGGTAATTCAAGTTGCTGTAGTTTATGGATGTAGTATGTTTTTTTAATTGAACTTGATTTTTTTATAGTTTTTTTTTTATATTGTTAAACAATAGTTTTAGATAAAAATTATGTTATTAAATTTTACAAAAGTAACAAAAATTAAAGAATGTGGAGGAAACCAATGTTCACCCAATACCCATTACAATATAAATTACAATAATAATCTACGGTGTTTTATTATGTTTTCTGTTTTTTTTTGTTACAATATAAATTACAATAATAATCTACGTTGTTTTATTATGTTTTCTATTTTTTTTTTAATTTTTATTATGAATTTTTTAAATCTATTTCTATCGATTTCATTAATTACAATTAAGATTGTTGAGAATGTAGCTTTATAATCTGCTTCCTTTTATTTTTTCTTTATACAAGGTTAGCATCGTTTATGGGTTTGTCAAGGCAAACCAGGTTGTCATGATTTATGAGTTTAGTGGGGTTTTTTTTAATTGAACTTGACTTTTTTATATAGTCTATTTTTTTCACATATAGTTAAAAAAAATATAGTTTTAAAGAAAATTCATGTTATTAAACTTTATAAAGTAACAAAAATTAAATAATGTGAGAAATCATTATTCACCCACACATATTACACTATAAATTACAATAGCAATTCATAGTGTTTTACTTTCTTTTTATTTCTTTATGCTTTTGAATTTTTTTATGATTTTTTTTGAATTTTTTTTTTCAATTTCATCTTTTAATATTGGAATAGTTGATAATTAAGTTTCATAATTTATTTCTTTTTATTTTACCTTTCTTAGCATGGTTTACAAGTTTGCTATAGTAACTCGAGTTGTCTTGATTTACGAGTATGATGGGGTGTCTTTTTAATTAAACTTAACTTTTTTATTGTTTATTTTTTTTCATATAGCTAAAAAAATAGTTTAAAAAAAAATATGTTATTAAACTTTATAAAGTCCATGAACCTATTCACATGTTTGGCTGGTTAACTTGGTTCTAGGGTCTGACAAGTTTAATTTTTTCTAAAAAAAATCATTAAATATTGAGTTAATTAAAAATTCAGTTTCATAATTAGTTTTGTTTTACCTTCTATGAGGTTATCATGATTTAAAAAAAATCTTGATATTAAATTGGTGTTTGATTTTGCAATTATCTATTTTTTATCATATATTTAAATAAAAAATAGATTAAAAAACAAATTATAATATTAGTGGAGTCTATAACTCAGTTCACAGATTTGATATACTAACTCGGCTTACCTGATTCATAGATTTTATGAGTTTACCCACTAATAGGATATGTTTTTTTATGGTTTTGGCCTTTTAATTGTTTTTTTAAAAAATTTATTTCATCATTTACTAGTGGATTGATTAGAAAATGGACTGCATTATTGATTTTTGTTTCTTTTATAGGGATAATTATCTCTAATAAGTGTTTAATCTATTATTATCTCAATATTTAAAAAACATATATCATTTTGAAGTTTTTTTAAAAGCTAAGTAATGTTTTTATTGATCATCAACGTTGCATATGAACTTATGAAATTGATCGATTTAAGTTGAGTTAGTTTTTACACGGTTTAATTAAAAACTTGAGTTAGATAAATAGTTGAGTCAAGATGTTTTAAAATTAACTCATTTGATCAGGTTTAATAAAACTATTAAAAAATTCTTCAAGTTCTTAATATTGTTTTTACATTTAAAAAAATTGATCAAACCCATAGCAAAGCGCGGGGCAATTTTTCAATTTTGTATATTTTAACCCTCTATAACTAGTTTTTAGCAATTTTTTATAAGTTTTAATATGTTCTTCTTAAATAATAGATTTCTTTTTTGTTTTTCATCTATCATTTAAATAATTAAATAATTAAATAATCTAACTAGAAATTAGAAGAGCTCCCCCTTTAAGAGTTTACATGTTTATTTTTTCATCAGTGACATCATTTGTCAC